GGGGGGGGGGGGGGGGGGGTGTTACAAACCTGCTGTCTCTGGAGTTCAGAGGCCAATCAGAAGGCAAGGCCAGAAACCCTGGTCAGTCCCTTGATGCATTTTCCACTTACAAACTGGATACAGTTAAAGGATATGGGGGAGCCACTTCCTTTCCTGGCTGTAATGTCCTTTTCCTCCCTCACTTTTTTGGCTGCGAGGCTCTGTCTTGCTGATCCTACTGTGAATACAGAACGAAGCCCTCTTTCCTTTCCCCTCCTGGTTGTCCCCCACCATGGAAGGAGGCTCTTGGTGGCCCCCTCTTTCCTTGGGCATGCAAGACCATGTACCTCCTCTGCTGTCACACCTGCAGGGAAGAGTTCAGTGGTTTCCACCTTGCTGCGTCAGCTGGCACGTCACTCCTAGCTCTGCTTTGTTCAGGTAGGGAGGATTGCTTTGTGAACACGGTTGCAGAGCCCTGGCACAGAGGAAGCCCACTGTCAGAGGCAGGTGCGTGTGGAAGCAGTGCCTGCTGCCCACGAAGAGCTCCATGTCTCACCCTTCTGGTATAACCTCTGAGCAGTACAAAGCGCATGTCAGCTGGGTGACCCACAAGTATGGCAAGGAAACTGTTTGGAAAGAACGACACGTAGTCCAAAGACAGTGCTTCATCGGCGACTCCATGAAGTCGACACTTTGCTTGCAGAGGAAAATGGTTGGGAGAACCTAATGGGGACACACCTGCGTTTCAGGAGGGTGAAAGACTGAGTGTGCATTTGCAGAGAAGAGAGAAACTAGCTGGGTGGTGGGGTCTCCTGGGGTCATATGGCGATATATACTCACTGATCCAACACCCCAAAGAGACCAAATTCATCCTGGACATTTGCCTTGCATCTTAACTCTGGGGCCTCTGAGCTTGGGATGAGGAGCCAGTTTTTGATGCTAGATGCCACTGATGGGAACAGGCTACTGCTGCATCTCATTGGGGCTCTTCCCCACACAGACTGGAGTTGTGGGTGAGTGGCACAAAATGAGAAATCAAGAAAGGGATGTGGAAGCAAGCAGCCCATGGGATCTGCATCAAGGGGGAGCTGAAGAAAAACTCCACCTGTGATGTGGCTGGTGGGCCGTTGAGTCTGAAAGCTGGGTTGGACCCGCTGTGACAGGTGGCACCCAGCTGATGGTTGTGGTGAGTGAAGGAGGAACCTTTCCCCTAAAATAACCTCACACTTCAGTTGCACACCTCCTGTCCAAACGCTGCCCAAACTGTAACCATGCATATGGAGCACATTTTTCTTCCGCTTGTACTAAAAGAGCAGCTTCATTAAACAAAAGATTTGTCTGTCCCTTGCATGGTTGCTTCATTGAGTCATGATGTCTTTGTGTCTCGCTTGCACAGGCATTGTGCACATCTACCTCTGAGCTGTCCTACATACTTTGCATTTGCAAGCCAGGATGCCTTTGGAGCTGGGGCTCGCGTCACGGCTGTGGTGTCCCACTGCTGAGGATGTGCAGTAGTTACTCGTGCTCTGCCCCAGCATGATGGTGTTGGCTGGAGAGCTTAATTTAGTTGCAGCAACCACAGGAGGAAAGAGAAGAGAGAGAATGGCGCCTCATGCAAGAGAGAGAGCCTCCTCGTAATGACACGTGACGGATGCCAAATTAGCAGCAGCGCTGGGTTGTAGAAGAAGCAGCAGCCGAGTACTTAAATGGCATGTCAAGCCCCTCATCGACTTGACTTTGCCTTAAACGTTTCCCCCCTTTCCCCTCAGCCAGAGAGCTGCCCACAGGTTTTTTTTAATGTCTCATCACTCAATCCTAAATGACGCTTGGAAATCTGGGGATAAAATACACTGCTGTCTGTTAATTGGAGAGACAAGGGGGAGCATGTTTCCTGCCTGAGCCACTATCTCAGGTGGTGGGCAGTCCTAAATGTTCGGTCCCCTTATCTTGGGTGAATTCGGTGCATCCACTGTTGGGACAAAGGCTTTTTTTTCTTCTTCTAAGAATAGACTTTAGTATTGGCAGATTGGTTAAGAGCACCTCCCTGGGTTAGAGCTACTCAGAACAACCTTCCCCTTCTCCTGTCTTGCATCCAGCCTTCCTCTTCCTCTCCAGCGCCCATGCACCTAACCAGCTGAGTCCATCATGCAGTTAGCAATTATAGTGCCGAGACGTGTTGACTGCAAGACCTTGTTGTGAGGTGAGGTGAGATCACCAGGAACAAAACGATCATTACAGGCCATTCATGTCGGCAGCATTTATGCTCCTGTGTTTGCTTGCAAGCAAAAACAGCAGCTAATTTGCAAGGCTGCCTTTTGTAAAAGAGTCTTTTGATCAATGATTGCCTGTGTTAATGTTTCAGTAGGCTATCGATTTCTGCAACAGCTTTTGTTCCCTGAATTTATGTGAGATGGGTTTCGGCAGCGCGCACACTATGCATGTTTGATTAAAGTTCAATTGACTTCACTGGCGGTGAAGCTGGGAGCTGTTTCATTCCCTGTTTGTAGAACCAAAGCTTTCCCGACATGTTCTTTTGTTTGTGCTCAAGCTCCTGCCACCCAGGCAGTCACCAGTATGCTGTTCCTAATCCTCCCAGATTCACTCCACTCCAGCATTTAATCCCTTAGGTAGACATTATAGTATTTGATGGCGAGGCAGCTAATAAAACCTGGGATGGAGTTTCAGCGTGTGTGGTGCACATCTACTGTGTGTGTGTGTAAAAGTAAGACTCCTCTGCATCTACTTCCTCCTTGACTCTAATGCCGGGTCTGTGTCAGGAGCTTGAGTCACTGAGTCATGTAGCTGGATCTCTCTGCTAATGAACCCTAAGGATAAAACGGTGATTAGCTCTTAAGATCCACCCATCCTTTGGAACTGTCCAAGTCAGCTTTTGAATTAACATTTCAATTTGAACCTGCATGCAAGTTTCCGACTGCAGATTTGGGGGTGTTGCTTTGAAGTCAGGTGTCTGTTTCTGAAGTTTTATCCCCAAATACAAGCAGTTTAAAAAAAAGAGAACAGCTTAGTTTTGCAGCTCAGCATGTGCATAAGTAGTTAAACTTCCCTTGAGAGGTGATGGGTTTGCCACATGTAGATATAGCCTAAGTTTGTTCTCATTCCTATTATATGATGGGAGGGGGGAAGATTGATTTGAACTCTTCTGTTACCGTGTATCAGAGGAGAGGTATTAGTCTACTGACACAGGGAGGTGGGATTTACTGACTTCACTCGCTGATCCTGACACCAAGGATTTGATATAAATCAACTTTACAGGTGAAATGTGGCTGATTTTGTTTGCAGGAAGCTCGCTGGCTCAGGACAGCATGGCATAAACTTCCCGGGGAGTGTCAGTCACCCACTCTCTCAGTTTGTCCTCCCATCACCAGTGCCGAAGAGACTCGGAGCCCCTTTCTCATGAGGTCAAAAACAAATTTTCAAGCCCTTGCATGGAATTTAAGAGGAGGGTTTGCAAGAAGGGATGAGATGTCAGGACCCCTGTCCCCGCCTCCGTCACAGACTAGGCGTGTGTACCCCATCGGCTCCCGACCCGTGTGCCTGCATTTGCCCATTTGCAGCAGAATGGCAAAGATGCCTGCCTGCTTTCATTTCTAGGGTTTCATTTTTTAGGCGAATAAGTAGGGTTTGTTTTTTTTTTTAAGATTTTTTTTAATTTGTTTTTATTCTGCCAAATCAAGGCACTATGTATCGTGCTTCTTCCTCCCACCCCAGCTCTCTCACCAAGTATTGCTCTGAAGATGGCAGACTCTGGGGATCATTTTCATTTCACTGAATCTGCAGTGGAGATCAGGTGCTAGCTGCCCTCCAGAGCAGCCCCCTCCATTTGCCTGTTCATGGCTTTCAGTACAGAAGTTGCTGGTTGTGCTGTTCCTGCTCGTTCCAGGCCATCGGCAGTTTGGACGGAGGGTGTGTCTTTGCGACAGAATGAGCTTCCATCTACTCCCAGCAAAGAGTGCCGAATTTGGCGGACAGAGCAAGCTGACTGAGGTTGTGTGATTAGATCACATGTAACGCAGTTCAAAGAGCCCCTTTTTGTGGGCAGTTCAGGCATGTTTGTTCTGATGTTGATTTTCAAGAGAGTGGTTAGAACGGCTCCATTTCTCTTGCAACTTGAAAGAAACGACACCTTTTACCTTAGAGGCAGACAAGTCGCCAGGAAATGATGGGGTTTCAAAGTAAAAGAAAGGAGATTAAAACCACATGCTGTTCTTTAGCTTGGCATTACATCTGCTAGTTTGAATGTCATCTGCCCCGGTTTTTTGACTGTAAGCCAGATTCATTATACTATGGAATTATCACCAGCTTCCCTAGGTGTGTTCTTTTAACTGCCTAATTAATTTAGATGTGAACACATACATTCAGATTAACATTTGGTTTGCTTTAATGTGGTCGAGTGTTATGGGTAGATATTTGTCGGCGTGTTTTCATTTGAACTTTTAAGTTTTTTTTGAACAGGAGTGTTTTTAAGTAACTTCACGGGGGGATTTGGATTGTTGCGCTCTGTCTGTTTGAAGTGATCACACTCTTGTTGACAGTGCCATGGGATCTACAAGGAACGTCATTAGTAAGGACATCGCTCTTACAGCTCGTTGGAAAGACGCTGCCTCTGGCAGCACAGTGTCCCCTAACACTTGGCCGAGGTATTGCCTCAATGCTTATTCAAAGGAAAGAGCACCCCTTGCTGTGAATGGCCAGTGCTGATAGTGGCAGGATGGGGGCTGTAGATTTTGCAGCCCAGCCTTTAAAAAATTAAATGCATTTAACTTCCTCTGAAATAAAATATTTTTCTCTTCTATCCAGGGGGACATCTGTCTGGCTGAAAGCCTTTTACAAACATAGACATACATGCATGCCCTGTCCTTCTCTGCGGAGGGGGAAGGAAAGAGCTGACAAGTCAGCTTTGCATGCCCCTCTAACATATTCCTTCTGTGTTTGCAGGGAGAACTAATCACCTTCTATTACTATTGGAAGAAAACCCCTGAAGCAGCAAGTTCCCGAGCCCACCGTAGGCATCGGAGGCAGGCTGTGTTTCGGAGAATTAAAACTCGAACTGCTTCCACTCCAGTCAACACTCCCTCCAGGCCCCCCTCCAGCGAATTCTGTAAGTGGCGGCTAAAAGCAGTGCATTTATCTTTGTTTAGATGCATGGAACTGCAGTAATGTAATGGCTCTGTCTTCAGCTGAATAAAGCAAGGAAATTGAATGCAGGCTGTTCCCGTACCATTATGCCCGAGTATGGCAGGAGTCTGTGATCAGCAAGTGATGTTTCCTGTCATGTGCAGCGTGGGGCTTAGGCTAGAAAGCCTGAGTAAGGACAGAGATGTTTCTCTGGCTCTGAATATCCCTATTTTTGTCCTGGCTGTAAGCGTTGCATTTTCCCTGGAGTTCTACTAGGCACAGGACTTGGACAATAAAGCAATCCCCACCCTCCTCCTCCCTTGCCCAAGCCTTCTTTCATGACCGTGCCTTGTGCTACCATCAGCATTGCTGTATCTTACCGTATCTCGGCAGGATCGTGGCCTTGCTTTGAGGCAGAAGCACCTTAACAAAGAATCACTGCAAAGCCTAGTGCAGTCGAGCTTGTCACTGGGGTTATGACACCACTGACGTCAAGACAGTTGCGTAGAATTTATCATTGTATAAAAGGCTAAAGCTTCCCTTAAACTTTAAGCCTTTCAGTGGAATAAATCCAGAGCATTTCTTGTCTTTTGCAGTGAAAGACGATTGGCAAAATCTCAGAAATTGGACCAAACTTACTGAAGTGCTGTTATAGGGAGGATGGGGAATATGTGTCTATGTGTAGTGGGGAATACAGGAGATGGTTTTTAAGATGCACCTAAGCAAAGTATTATTGGTTTCTGTTCCTGAAAGTCGAAACAAAGGTATTGGTCCTTCACTTGGATCCAGGATGCACAGCTCCCGCAAGTTCAAATGAGTACAAGACTGCACACAGGCCCACGTCACTGCAAGATCAGAACCAACCTTAGCTCAGTGGATGAGGTGTTAGCCTGGTGTGAACTTTTCGGTTCAGTTTGGAGGAGTTTGAATTGGAAGTTACGGTGCTGCCAGCAGTCATTGTTACCATACTATGAGTAAATGAATGAGACCCTGCCTTGATTAGATGAGTGTAAGGGGTTGATGACAGACTCTAATGGAAATTACCATAGCCTCTCTCTCCGTATAACACACACATGATAAAACTTATTCTCCTAGAGCCTTCAGGGAAACAGCATTCCTTCAGCAAGGGCTTTCCTTAAAAGTAAAGATTTGACCATGGGAAGTCACACATTAAGACATGTGTTTTGTGACAGGGCCCTTCTGCTCATGACAGATTACAGGCGCATGTTAGATGGTGAATTTTTAGCATGTGGCTGGAAGATGCAATGCTCTCAGTCGGTTACTTAGAAGATCCCATAGTACCCAGTTGGCGCAGATTCTTTCTAGAGGCTTATGAGGTTTGCACACTTGCCATTTTAGGCAAGGGTAACGTGCTTTGCAGCTGGTGATGTTGTAATGAGGTGACTTACTCTCGACTGCTCTCCACATGTAGGGTGAGCCTTACAATTGGAAGGCTCTGCAAATCCCCCAAAACTAAGATGTCTGAAATATAATCCAGCTGTCAGATGCATCCTTTAAGGAGCATTTTCCACAAGAATAATAAAGCTTATCCCATATTTTTGTTCTGCCTTTTATCCAGAGGAGTCACAAAGCACTTTACAAGCTATCAAACCACACATAAGGACCATTTTACCCACCAGTGAAACCCAGCCATCCCTGGGACAAAAATCAGCAGCTGTGGAACCTATACAGCAATGCTCTGCATCTAGTTTAGTTAAAAAAAAAAATAAAAAAAGTTCTCGTGCATGTGACATTGCCGGGTGGGATTTCGGTGTGGTGGCTATTGTCTGACTGGAAAGGTGGCCAGACTCTTGAGTGAAGCGTCCCTAGTTTTGAATATTACTCTGAGCCACCATTCCTCCAATCCACCATTTCTGAGGCCTGTACACTTTGTTTCATGCAGTACAGCGCCTCCAGCTGCTCCATGCCTCTGGGCAGCATGGGTGTTGGTTCAACCCTGGTGCCCAGGGAAGTGTGCCAGGCACTGGATCAGAAGCACTGTCACTTGCATCACTTAGCATACTCCTGAGATCTTTTTAAATGTAGGTACTGACCAGGCCTGACCCTGCTTAGCTTGTGAAATTTGATGTGATGGCAGCACAAAGTGGGATGGCTGCAGGCCAGCCTAGGAAGCTGCAGAACAAAGACCAGAATTCTCATCATAAATGGTTACATTCAGCCAGCCAGAGCAAAGTGAGAACTCATCCTGATTTTTTTTTTCTCTCCCTTTCCTTCTCTTTCTCTCTTTGCTTATTCAGTGGACTTGAGCTCAGCCAGCGAAGATGATTTTGACAGCGAGGACAGTGAACAGGAACTGAAGGGCTACGCCTGTCGTCACTGCTTCACAACCAGTATGCACTTGATATATCGCTGTATCTCTTTTCCTTGTGTTGGTGCCTATTTAACATTGGTTCATCCAAGCAAAAGCAGCTGTAATGCACAGAGAGCTGTTCTAAAAATGTAGCGTTGAATCAGCTAAAATATGCAGCATCCCAGCATAGAGTTAATCGTGATTTACCATTGCAAATTAGTATTGCAGTGACAGGGGAGGATCCTGGAAGATAGACGTTTATACAGTGAAGCCGCCATGTCTAAACAGAGTCCTTTATCTAATCCATTTACTATATAGCAAATCAATATTGAGCTGTGACTGTCAGATACATAACTTGCATTCATGACGCACCAAGGCTTTTCTGCAGCAGCTTTGCTCTTATAAGTACTCCTGAAAGCTCTCTGATGCTTGTACATATGCACTGAGCATGCAAGCAAAAGCCTGGAGGTAAGTAAGGGAAGGGAGAGACGAAATGTTCGTGCTGCATTTATCTTGAAGAAACCAAGGCAGACCTCAGAGAACCAATAGCTCCCTAACTCATAGTCCCCAAATGCAGCAGCAGTCTCTCTTGCTCTCATTTTCAAAGCAGCAGTTGCCTGTTTAAATAAAGAAATAGTCTGTAACCGAGCATGGAAAATGTTCATGGAGACATAAGCCAGCCTGGAACAAGGCAAAGGTTTCCAGTTGCATTGCTGGGAAAGGTGGGTATTTGTGTTTCGTATCTAATATATTGTAAGTTTCCAATCCTCCCCCATCACTTTTCCAACAACAGCCTCCAAGGACTGGCACCACGGTGGTCGAGAAAACATCTTGCTCTGCACTGACTGCCGCATCCACTTCAAGAAGTACGGGGAGCTCCCGCCCATTGAGAAGCCAGTGGACCCTCCGCCCTTTATGTTTAAGCCTGTCAAAGAGGAAGATGATGGACTCAGCGGAAAGCATAGCATGAGGACAAGGCGGAGTCGAGGCTCGGTAGGTCTGCATTGTCCGTGTCCTCAGCAGCCTCTGGGAAAGAGAAGGGACAGTGTAGGAAGTTAGACCTGTTACAATCAGAGCTTCCAACAGCACTCTGTCTCTCCTCCCCATCAGTTCCTTGCTCTGTTAGCCTGCCAAAATGCAGAATGTGCAGAATTTGACGCTTGTTTGAAAATTTGACCTTGAAGTATCTCCTTGGGGAGGTCTAGTCAAACCCTGTGTATCTTAATGTTCCAAGTCTAAATCTGTCTTTCTATTGAGTGGGTCAAGGTAGCAGCCCCTTCAGAATAATTCTACTACCAAAATCTGTGACAGCATTTGTAGTGCTACATCTTTTCCCTAGCTGCGCCCTATCTGAGGTAACCCTTAGATGCACTTCGAAGGGAACATTTTAAAAATTCAAGTACTGTTTCTCTGCCCTTGCAGAGAACACACCTTACAAAGCTGGCTTTAAAACAAAATCTCCTTGCCCAAGTATAGAGCAGTTCTCATGGTCCTCTACACAGTGGTTCCATCGTAAAAAAAAAAAAAAAAAAGGCTTTACACGTGGTAATGTACCTGGAGCGTTGTTGAAGTGCTGCCACCTGTGGGGACCTAAGGATCGACCAGAAACTTTCATGGTTTGGGGGGCTTGCATTTCTGGCAAGTCCCACGGATGGGCCTGTCAAGCAGTAACAGATTTCTCTTTCTCTCTCCACCTTTTTGGTCGTGTTCCTGTTGTCACAGCTGCTGAATACCTTGTCAGGTGATGCTGTCAGCTCAAGCTGGCTTCATCATTTTTATGGTAGCCAGTCATCCAAACAGCTGCTAAATTAGGAGGGGACAGATGAAATGGTATTAATTATTGCTGCATAATTGACTGTGATTCTTTATTGCGTAGCAGGAACACATTGAAGCTGTTAGTCGTTGCTGAAACTGCTCTCAGCTCCTAGCATCTTTAGGTCACTCTCTTATCAAGCTTGGTTTATGCTAGCAGATTTATTATTTTTTAAGGTGGAACATTAAGGCGAAGGGAGCTTGCCTGAATGAAGAAAAGCCTGGTGTGTGGACAGCAGCTGTGGGAACATCATCTTAATATTCTCATTTCCAGCAGACACAGCTTAATAACATAAGCAGTATTTGATGTGTTTTGGGTAGCAAGTTAAGGATTTGCCACCTCCTGTTTTAAGCCTGGATGAGCTTTCAAGTACAGGCTTACAAACACGCAGAGCTCAATTTTCCGTTTCTCAGGCGCTGGGCTGGGATGCACGCACCCGTCATAACTTGGGGGAAAAAAAACAAAGGTTGATAAGATGCTTCCTATCAGGTGTTTTTTTTCTCTCATCTATTTTCATTAAACCAATAGATGTCTACACTACGTAGTGGTCGTAAAAAGCAGCCAGCCAGTCCCGATGGTAGAGCCTCACCCATTAATGAAGACATCCGGTCCAGCGGCCGCAATTCTCCCAGTGCTGCCAGCACCTCCAGTAATGACAGCAAAGCAGATTCTGTGAAGAAGTCCACCAAGGTAAATATTGCCTGGGATTTTTTTTCCTTCTACAACTCAGGACATTGGTCTGTTTTCGGTTCAGTGAGTCAACCTAGGGGCTTGGATCAAATCAGAGATCTAGGCTGGATAAGTAGGATTCCTGCTCTTCTCCTATGTGCACAGGTCTGCAGGCAGGCAGATCTAAGCAGTTCCTTGTTCAGGTGTTTGGGTAAGGGGATGATTATACATAAAAGCGCACAGACCTCATGGTGATAAGCATCATAGAAATATCTATAAATAGGCTCATTGCCCTTATTACAGGCATTAATGCTGCAGTTTGAGACTCAGACTCAACTCTGACCCTCTTGCAAATGTCCATGAGAAATGTTATACTCAACACAGGTATCTAGCTAGAATGCTCTTAATTTATTTACTAAAGGAAAGAATGCCCCATGCATGAGATTGCTGCTTCTGTTGTCTTTTCTGCATAATGACATGCCATCTTATTTTGGGGAGAAGCTAACATTTTTTACTTAAAGGAACAAGGGCCCCTACAGGAGACAGCTAAAGAAACTAAGTTATGGGAGGAGTCTTGTCATTGCCCCCAAATGGGAAAAGGGACACAAAACAGAGTAGGAATATATGGTTAGATTTCATGGCATTGGAAGGTTAACTGCAGGGAGCATCAAGGTCACATAGAAGGAGTAAGGGTGTTTAAAACACAGCTTGTGGTCTGCAAAAGGGAGTAGACAGTGATGTGTTAACATTTGCAAATAAAATCCAACCCAAAGAGGATCAGAAGGAACCTGAAAGAGACCTGACCAAGCCCAGGGGGGTGAGCAGCATGACCAAAAGACAGGTGAAATTTAATGTAGATAAATGAAAATGATGTGCCGTGGGAAAATGTGGAATTTTCATGTACTTCACAGTGATCTAAATTAACTTGATTAACTCAGGAAAAAGGCCTGGGCATTATTTTAGACAGCTCAGTGAAGATGACTTCATTGTACAACTGTTCACATAAGAATTATTTGGAGGATTAGCAGGTGTAAGTGGTGGGTTACGGAGTCATAAAGAACATATCATAATGCCATTATAGAAACAAATGATTTGGCCCCATCTGGAAGGTATTGTACTGCATATTTCATAGATTTTCATACATTTCATAGACATTAGGGCTGGAAGGGACCTCGGAAGATCATCGAGTCCAGCCCCCCACCCAAAGGGCAGGAAGTCAGCTGAGGTCATAGGATCCCATATGGGTCACTTCATCTCCAAGAAGGATATTGCAGAAGTAAAAGGAATTCAGAGAAAAGTGACAAGAATGTTTAGCAGCCCAGAAAAAACTCTAGTGTTAAGAGAGACCAGAAGATTGGGATTTAGAACGGAGGCAAACAAGGAAGACGTGATAAAAGTACATAAAATAATGGATGACTTCAGAAGGCAGAAAAAGGGGTTCTCTTCTCCCTTTCTTCTGAAATAGAAGCAAGGGGATGTTAATGAAATTGAAAACTAGAAGATCCGAAACCAGTCCAGCAGTGTACTTTTCCATGCAATGTGCCTTTGCTACTTCTTGCCTTAGGATGTTGACAGCTTAGCAAAATGCCAACAGATTGGTCAATGATATGAAGAGCAAGGCAGTATAAAGGCTTATCAACATGAGGAAAAAGCCCAGCATAGCTGCTTAAGTGGTAGCTTTTCCACACTAACTCTGTGTGAACTCATCCCCCACTTGCCCCACTAAGAACATCTCCATAGTGACTCAGGGCAGAACAATTCTTGTGTCCTAAATGCACTCCCAAGCTATTTTCCAGTAGCTTCTCTATAATCTCCCAAGGCAGGCAAACCCTAAAGAAGTTGACCATTTTGGAAAGGCTGTCAAACTTCTGACTTCGGGTCCTGAGCAGCTCTCAACCTATTAGGACACAACTTTCATGGCAGGCAGATTTTCCCAAGTCAACTTCCTGAAAGTTTCCCTTCCCCTTTCTCTATAGCAATTTGTGCTTGCCACTGTCAGCGACAAAATAATGGGCTACATGGACCTGGGATCTGACCCCGTGGAATGGTTCCTGCGGCTTCGTTTTGTATTTGGACATAAGTATATTCTGTAGAAACATGAGTTTTAAAAACATTAGCCTGATGAGATGCCTCAGTTTCAGTGCACTGACTCCATCCCAGTAGCCTGCAGTATGCAGGTGGTGCTTGCAAGCTGCTTCTCAGCTTATTGTCCTCAAATGTAAAATCCTAGCTCTGTTCTGGGCGACTTGTGTAAATTTGGCCTCCAGAGGGAGCTAGCTGGACTGGCACGTGGATGAAAGCCCATTCGGAAACAGTTTCTGGAAGATGGGAAATGTATTGATAGCTCCAGAATACAGATTCCTTTCCCTTCTCCCTTTTGAATGGGGAAAGAGGCATATTGGATTACCACTGAACACGGACTAATCAGCCTCTGATCAGCTTCCCAGTATCTGCAGGCACTTTTTTATGGGCACAGAATCCTGCCGGAGTGGGCAGGGTCTCCTTTTAGCTCCACTTTTACTTCCTTATTATACCATGCCTTTCTGTTTTTGGCAGAAGATAAAAGAGGAGGCATCATCCCCCCTCAAGAACTCGAAGCGGCAGCGGGAGAAGGCAGCCTCTGACACAGAGGAGCCGGACAGATCAAACGCCAAGAAGTCCAAAACTCAAGTAAGTCTCAGGAAGGAGCAGTGTTCTCCCTGCAGACAGGCTGCTCATGAGCAAAACTGTGGCTGTCCCCTGTCCTTCCCCATTCCCGTTCCTTCCCAGGGAAGGATAAAATCGAAACCCCAAAACCAACAACAAACCAAATACACAAGATTGATTTAAGCTACTTCAAAGTGCCAGAGCAGCACATTGTAATTGAATTTGCGGCTGGAAAGCAGCCTACTCCTTAATGTGTTCCTTCTGCTGGGAGAGGAAGGAAGCACGTGGGAAGGGACTGGACCCGGGCATCTTGTCTCTTTTTTTTTTTAGCATTGGTATGCTCTTCTGTACTGGGGCAAAGGTTGGTTTGGTCCCTCCGTCCCTTCCCTTCATTTTGTTAATGAGCCTATGTACAAATTTTGTTTTACTTCAAATTACTCTCCTTCCTCCACTGACTTGCACTTCCACACAGCAATTTACAGCTCAGACTACAGCGAATTAACTAAGCTAGAGACCATTTCAAATAGGCCCAGTTGCACCTTAGCAGCTTATTGCACCGGAGGTCTCTCTGGGACCTCCAGTTTAAAATAGTTTCCAGTTTCTGTCTACATGAACAGAAACGTTCAGAAAACCCATTTAAACCAAGAACTGCTAGTTTAACTTCTTGGGGATCAGAGTGATGATTAATCTACTGCAGGATAGTTTGGCTCCACGTGTAATTGCCCAGGTTCACGCCCAAGCACTGGCTTTGGCCGTGAGCCCCACATATTAATTAATGTTGCTCATGCCCTGCGAGGTTCCTAGAGAAGGCTGTATGTAATGCAGTGCATCTGGGTATGACCGTCACATGCTGGGGAGCAGGCAGCATCCCGTAGCCATGCCAGAGGCAACATGGAGCCCTTTTCCCCCTGTCTCCACAGGAGATCAGCAGGCCCAACTCTCCCTCGGAGGGCGAGGGTGAGGGTGAAAGCTCTGATAGCCGCAGTGTCAACGATGAAGGCAGCAGTGACCCGAAGGACATTGACCAGGACAACCGGAGCACGTCACCTAGCATCCCCAGCCCCCAGGATAATGAGAGCGACTCGGATTCATCAGCTCAGCAGCAAGTGCTCCAGGCGCAGCCGCAGGTGCTCCAGGCACAGAACGGCTCTGCCCAGGCCCCACCTTCCACCCCACCAATATCCACCCAGCTCCCCACATCAATGCCAGCAGTGTCGAGCGCCCCCTCTGCCGCCGCCGCCCCCCAGGTTTCGCCGTCAGTATCTCAGCCTCCCAGCCAGCCCCAGCCCCCAGCACCGCCACCACCTCACTCTCACATACAGCAGGCTCCTGCCCTGCACCCGCAGAGACTCCCCTCACCACACCCACCGCTGCAGCCCCTGAGCGTGTCGCAGAGTCAGCCCCAGGCTGCTGCATCAGCACAGCCCCACTCGCAGCCTCCACTCCATGGCCAGGCCCAGCCTCCCCCTCACGGCCTGCAAGCCCAGCCTCTTCTGCCTCACCCTGTACCTCCTCAACCATTCTCTCTCCCCACGCAGTCTTCTCAGTCTCAGGTTCCCCTTCAGACACAGGCTCCTTCTCACTCTCACGCTGCTCTGCAGGTGCAAGCACAACCTGCCCTGCAAACGCAGGCTCCCCTGCAGCAACCCCAGCCTCCACGGGAGCAGCCCCTGCCCCCTGCACCCATGGCCATGCCTCATATCAAACCCCCTCCCACCACCCCCATTCCTCAGCTTCCTACTCCACAGTCCCACAAGCACCCTCCCCACCTTTCTGGGCCTTCTCCATTTTCGATGAACTCCAACCTGCCGCCGCCTCCTGCTCTGAAGCCACTAAGTTCCCTTTCCACTCATCATCCTCCTTCTGCGCACCCTCCTCCATTGCAGCTGATGCCCCAGAGCCAACCGCTGCAGTCCTCTCAAGCTCAGCCTCCGGTTCTGACTCAGAGTCAGAGCCTTCCACCATCAGCAAGCCACCCCTCCTCCGGGCTCCATCAGGTATCCTCCCAGCCGCCCTTCTCTCAGCATCCCTTTGTCCCTGGGGGACCACCTTCCATCACCCCCCCATCCTGCCCCTCCACTTCCACTCCACCTTCCGTGCCTGGTATCCCCTGTCAACCTCCTGTCTCCACGTCGGCGGCTTCCAGCGGAAACGTCCCAGTGGTCACGTCCTGCACGTTGCCGCCTATTCAGATCAAAGAAGAGGCTCCTGATGAGGCAGAGGAGCCAGAGAGCCCACCACCTCCACCCAGAAGCCCGTCACCTGAACCCACTGTGGTGGACACACCAAGCCATGCCAGCCAGTCAGCCAGGTATGGAGGGTGTCAGCAAGTTCTGTCAGGTGCACTTGGCCTTTCCACTCAGCAGAGCGATTGCTAGACTTCCACATGTCACTTGCTGGGCCAGGCAGAGTTCAGTGTTGCAGCTTTGATGCTGCCAGCCTTGCAGTTGGGCTTTTGCTCTGTTAGGACATCTGGTTGGCCCCTAGCCATGATTAACATGTGGTTGAAACTGTGCTTAACAAGAATCTTGTTGCAACATAGTTGTTAGGAGCATAGTCTCCCTAACCAGTGTTAAGCCCTTTTCCCTGCCATCCCTTCAACAGCCCAGTTGTATAAAGCACACTAGAGGCAAGATCCTGAGTCCCCTGCACCTGAGACTCACTGTAGGAACTTGTGGATTGTGTAGCAGGAACCTTGCAGTTATGTGCTGTCTCCCTTTGCCCCCCTTGCTGCCCTCCCAATGTAGTTGTTCACTACAGAGTTCGGTTTACTTTATGCCACCCTGTGATTTTTAGTCTTCAGTCTAATGCCTCTCTTTGTACGTAAGACGGTGAAACCAATTACCTACTGGCAGTTTGAGTTGCAGGAGATTTTCAAAAGCGCAACGAGAAGCTGGCCACCCTGCAAGCTGGATACATAATTCACATTTGTGCCTTTGGAAATCAGTCCCTGTCTCTGCAGCATGATTTAGCTATCACCAGTTTTCCAGGGCAGGAAAAGCCCCGGTCCAGCACAGTTTGGACCGTAGTTTTCTGACAGGACATTATAGGTTGCATTTGGGAGCAGAAGCTAAGCAAATGCTGCTCCTGCCAGAGGCCAATCTGTAGAGTAACCTCATGGCACAGTTCCTGTCTTGGCATTACTGTAAATCATGAGTGTTCCTTAATCCCACTTTGATGTGGAGCTGTTAAAATCCAGATCTGTTTCTTTCTCAGGCCTAAACTCTTTCTGCACATGTCTCTCTCAGGTTCTATAAACACCTGGACCGTGGCTACAACTCCTGCGCGAGAACGGACCTGTACTTCATGCCTCTGGCGGGATCCAAATTGGCCAAGAAGAGAGAGGAGGCAGTTGAGAAGGCCAAGAGAGAGGCAGAGCAGAAAGCAAGAGAAGAGAGGGAGAGGGAGAAGGAGAAGGAGAAAGAGAGGGAGAGAGAGCGGGAGCGGGAAAGAGAAGCGGAAAGAGCCGCGGTAGGTTTGTCCTTTGCATCGCAGGTTGTGGCAGAGGGCTGCATTGAAAGGTGGATGTAAAATGTCGTGTGTGCGTTTGCCCACCTGCCTGACCATGTAGTGCAGGACAAAGTGCACCCTTTTCCATTTTACATGCACAATTCAAGAATAGAAAAGGGTTGGAGGCAAGGATGGGGGTTGTTGACTGTGGCATTGGAACATCTCCTACCTGGCTTGTCTCAGGCCCCTCCCACTCCTAGTGCCTTAATGGGAGAAAGCGCAGTTTGGGGGCTCAGCAGGGCCTGGGGTTCGTCCAGCATTTTGAAGATGAGCAGTGATACCCAAGTGCAGTTAGCATCTCCTGTTGTGGGCCATTGGTTCCTTAGTGATGCAGGCACAGGATGCCTGAGCCTACAAGGCATACCCTTTAGTTGCTGCCTCTGCAATTCTAGGTCGGGCTCTGGAAACGGGGCACAAAGGCCGCGTGAATTTGCAGTATATTTGATGGAAGAGCATCCTGGTTTCTGACAGAAGGCCTGACCACACATTTTTAAAGCTTTTACAGTATAACCTCTGATGGATTTATTTTGTTTTTAAACAACTTTGCTTTACTTTTTACCACCAAACCCCCAGGGCCTGGTGAGAGAGGGTAGAGCATGTCAGGGTTCATTGAGGGCTGGGAGATCGGCTTGCAGTGGCCTCATAACAAAGCTGCTTTGCTCTTGTCTTTGCAAAACAGCCCATGAAGGTGTCTCTTTTCCTGGTTTGCATATGGGACTTCTCAAAGGTTCGAGTCATGGCAACTGCACCTCTCACATGGTCCATAGTAATTAGAAGCAGCAGCTACGTATAGCTGCCAAGCCCTTTCACCTGCTAGGATAGGATATGACTTCTCCCAACCCCTTGCAGGGTGTCTCAGTTTGAAACTGATACAAAACCTGAATTCAACAAGGAATTCACATGGAAACAAGTTTCTTTGGATAATCATAGGGTCTCTTCAGACTCCTCCACGTGGCACACTCTTCCTCAAAGTGTTGTGGGAGGCTTCGGCTGCTGCAGGTTGTGGAGTTCTGCTCCCTTCAGTTTGCTCCTTTCTAGAGCTTGGTGGGGGGAGGCACTTTGGGGGCAAAGTTGTTGGAGGGTCTGTCTCCACCCATTACTGCCTGCAGAGATGTGCAAGTCTGTAGGTTTGCTGAGGCTACAGAGCCCAGTGGGGAAGAGGGAGAATCAGGTTTGTCCCCAAGGCACAGGGGAACATGAAGCTCTGGGATGAGTCATTTGAACATACCCGCTCTGTATTCTGAGCCACTGTGAAAGTGGGAGCAAATCTGCACTTTTTTTTTAAACACCAAGGTGGTTGGACTAAAGTCTCTCTCCCCTTCTTCGTTCCTTGCAGCAGAAGGTATCCAGTTCCTCCCACGAAGGTCGTCTCGGGGAATCCCAGCTCAGCGGACCAGCCCACATGAGGCCTTCATTCGAACCTCCGCCCACAACCATTGCCGCCGTTCCACCATATATCGGTCCGGACACACCTGCATTACGGACTCTCAGCGAGTACGCCCGCCCTCATGTTATGTCACCAACCAACCGCAACCATCCTTTCTTTGTTCCCCTGAACCCCACTGATCCGCTCCTGGCCTACCACATGCCCGGCCTTTACAACGTGGACCCAACCATCCGGGAACGGGAGCTCCGAGAGCGGGAGATCCGGGAGCGAGAAATCAGGGAAAGGGAGCTGAGGGAGAGGATGAAACCTGGCTTCGAGGTGAAGCCCCCGGAACTAGACGCACTGCACCCAGCTACCAACCCCATGGAGCATTTTGCCCGGCATGGCGCACTGACTATCCCCCCAACGGCAGGACCTCACCCTTTTGCTTCCTTCCACCCGGGTTTGAACCCTCTTGAGAGGGAGAGACTTGCACTGGCAGGCCCTCAGTTACGGCCTGAAATGAGCTACCCCGATAGACTGGCGGCAGAGAGGATACACGCTGAGCGGATGGCGTCGCTGACAAACGACCCGTTGGCGCGGCTCCAGATGTTCAATGTGACGCCTCACCACCACCAACACTCACACATACATTCACATCTGCACCTTCATCAGCAGGACCCGCTACACCAAGGTGAGCCCAGGGTCAGGGCAGTGCTCTTCCCCAAGGGGATGGAAGTGCCTGCTACTGCAGTGAATGGTCTGCCCAAAACAGTCATGTCCCAAGACTCTGGAAGTACACGAGCAGTGAAATCTCCAGCTCTGTCGACACAGTGCTAGTACCTGGGTCTGTGAAAGCGTGTGACACAGGGGTATGGCTCCACCACTTTTGTAGCATTGTTTTTCATCTGTGTATAGAAAAGAGAAATTGGTTTTGTTCGATCTCATGTGAACATACGAATTTCTTGACCACACGGGAGGGAAAGTCACAGCAGAGGAAAGCTAGACTACAACCATGCTGAAATACATGAGTTGTTTTTGTCAGGCAGTGCTTCTCTTCATAAGTGATGTACTAACCTTGGTACTTTGCACACGGGTTACTTAATACAGCCCCGCGTTGCGACTGAGTTAGAGTCCTGTGCAGCACAGGGCAAGGTTTAAGCAGCTAGGCATTCTCGCAAGTCTTCAGTGTGTGAAGAGTAATTCTCCCGTTGTTGGTCTAGAATAGTGGTTTTCAGCCTTTTTAGACTTGAGGCACCCCTGGATAGACTAGAGCAGCTGTTCCCAATCTGTGGTACAGATACCATGAGTGGTACGCGTTAACAGATGTATTATAATTACTTTATATGAGAAAAAATTGCTGGGGGTACTTAAGGTTGTATCATTTTAAATTGGTGGTGTGCAATCTGTCAGTCTGGGAACCGCTGGACTAGAGGACCCCCTTTGAAAATGCCAGCTCTTAATTTTCATTCTTTTTTGACTAGAGAAAAACAATAGATCACTTTTTTTCTGTTGCAAAGGACTCAGACGCAGCTGCAGGTTTCTGTGTGAAATCTCTGGGTTTATCTTGTAAATCCTGCTTGTAAACCTAACAGTGGTAACGCTGTGTGGCACCCTTGAAAGGATCTCAAGACAGTCTAGGGCCTGTGGCACCCTGGTTGAGAATCACTGGTCTAGAACACGGGCAGTTGATTTGGTGGTAGCAGCCATGGGCACCTCGGTGTAGACCAAACGTAGGCACGTATTAGGTAACCCAGTGGATAAAACCCCTTAGGCTTTATACTCCATTTAGCATTCATCCCCTGTGAGCCTTCTAATGAGCCTGGGAAGCACTGAAGGTTAGCACCATGATGTCATGGGAACATGAGCTGTCACCACCCAGAAAACTGGAGGCTTGGAGTGGCATTACTGTGTTATAAATCCACCGCTACAGCACCGTGGGATACAAGCCCCTGCATTTGAACACACAGCTCGTGTTTCTGATTTCTCTGAGGTGTGCATATACATCTCATGCACGCTGATCGCAGGTAATCACAGGGTGATGACCGTAAGTACCTCGGCTGTCTTGGGAGGTGATTGTTGGTCTGGAGATGGACATTAAGTCAGTAACCAGTAAGTTAGCCAAGTTGTCCCTGCCCAGCCAGCAGTGTGTTCATATACCAATTCAGAAACCAGGGTGACCTGATGCAGAAGAACCAAGCATACATTGGGTGCTGTAATATGCAGTCAGACAGGCATGAGACCTTTTGAAGTCAGCAAGGAGACAGGCTGGCATGTGATGGGGGTGGGGAGATTTAGTAGATGCTATGATAACTTTTCTAGGTTTATGAAAAATTAGGAAGGTAGAAGTAGATGAGAGCACCAGGGGCAGTAGGAAAGGGAAGTCTTAAAGAGTCAAAGATGCCAAATGAAGCCAACTGGAGGAGAAGGCTCTGCAAACTGTCTTGGTGTCCTGTTGGGGTTTCTGGAGGAGACTGTGGGTCTGTCATCACAGTGAAGGGCTACAAGACTGTAGTCATCCTTCTGTTTGTCCTGACTGCATCCGTGCATGAAACCAATGTAAGGGCTGGTGATGAGCTACGTAGAGACGTTGTAGTTTTCATCTGTGGAAGTTTTTAATTGGACGTCATACTGATGATTGTATGAGATGGTTTATCTAGGGCTGATCCTGCCTGGAGCCCGGGGTTGGGCTGTATGACAGACTTCCTAGGCTCCCTTCCAGCTGTCTTGTTCTGTGATTCTCCAGCTTCCTAGCTGAGAGAGGTCTGCTTTATACTGTTAACTCCTGTTGGTCTTTCATCCTGCTACAGCCCCATCTTTCTGCCCGGGTTGCCAAAGCTCCAGGATTGCCCTGGAGTCTCTAGGAATTAGATATAAATCTCCAGGAGACTGCTGAGAGTTACCCAGGAGATAAATGATAGGGCATTCATTAAAATAATATTAAATGTTGAATCTGATTTATACAGTAGTCCAGTGGGTTTTTAAAATGTAATGTGCATTTGCCTCCCTGATGTAAAGTTATTAATGTCATTACATCACGTGATGAAACCTCCTGGAATAGATTCGACCAGGGTTCGGCCATGTAACTTCAGTCCACTTACCTGTATGGACTGTACACCATGTGATGATGGTATTGTAGCGCTCAGGAAGTGTTGAACCCTCTGCGCAATTATGGGAAATCAGCACTGTCCGAGGAGTGAGCCGGGTGCGGGTGCCTCAAGCCAGCACAGTGGCAGAGTTGTGTAAGGGCAGCCCATGCACACCAAGGCTTGTTCTGCCTTTGTCTTTGGACCACAAGGCCCTTTTTGGCCCCATCGGGTGTGTCTAGAGCATCAGCAGAAGGAACACAGACAGGACTGTCGCGTTGACACGCGCCCGCGTCCCCTCTGTGCCACAGAAGAGAGTCCTTTGTAGGCTGGCTATAGGTCACCTGGTAGATGGTTCCCCATCAGCTGAGGGAAAGTAGCTTGGGGAAAAGCTGTGAAATGGGTAGCTCTGCAGACCCAGCAGCCCTGCCATATGAGCTGTTACTAGAGGGGGGCTGCAGCCACTGCAGGCCACGCAGACTAGTATCAGGTGCAGTAGTCAGTGGTAGGCGTGAGAGAATTGATTTCTTCACTCCCTCCATATGCCATCCACCCAAATATTTGGGCACCTTGCAGCTGGAGGGAG